GTGACTCAGGAAGGGAGAGTGAAGCATGCAGGAAACCACCTGGCACTAACTGTCCTCATTGGTTACATCGTGAGGCAGCTGCATCTGTCACCCACCTGTCTAGCTGGCCTGAGAACCCAAGGTCCCACTGGATTCTGGGGCTGCCGACCTCTCGCACGCATGTGGACGAGAGGCTATTCCTTGCAGTCTCCCCCAGATCCCTTCCAGATTAGCTTCATATATGAAGCTATATATCATAGAGCTATGAGGCAATTCAGTGTTAGATGTTGCAAAGGTTGACGTTCCTTAAAAAGTAACTTCTGGTCAGTGTTTTCTAATGCTTCCAAATCCTGGTCCTTGCACTTTCTCACTGTTCCGTAGACAGTCCTCTATGGGATTCTGATCCTTCTCATTATCCAAGGAAGTCATTGAGTAGGAGTCACAACCTCACCAATGAGAGAAGTGGGTTATTCAAGTCCTGAAGTGAGAAGGAAGGGCCACAGGCCTCTAGACCAGCCCTCTCATTTTTACAGGTGAGGAAACAGAGGCCCCAAGGGGTAAGCTAGAAGGAAGGGCCCTTCGGGGCCACCTGGATGAGCCTCCTCATTTTTCCGGGTGAGGTGACTGAGGCTGAGGCTGGTGAAGTGGCCAGCCCATGGTACCCCAGGTAGGAAGTGCCAGGCAGCGGTGCCAGGACCAAGGCCTTGGGCTTCAGAATTGATGGTTTTTCTGTTGTGCCTTGGTTCTCTGTCTCTGTCTCTCTCTCCCTCCCTCTGTCCCTCTCTGTCTCTCTCCTTTGTTTCTCTCTTTCTCCATGTGTGTATGTATATTTATATATCTATATACACATATGTCTAGACATACATATCCATACTTACACGTCTACATGTATGTATATATCCACCAAAGACAGTGGACACATTGGCTCACTTCTGCAAGCAAATGATAAGAAGAATGAGGGCCTGACCAAGGACGCTGGAGAACCCAGATCGGGAGCGAGGAAGGAGAGAGGCCAAAGCCTTGGGCCCCTCACCTGGGTTTCTCCGCCTCCGACTCAGCTGGGCTCCGATCCCAGGCTGGTCCCTTAGGCACTCAGGGCCCCCAGGCATCACAATAGCATCACCCCAGATGAAATCGAGCAAATGGACCAGTGAATGAAATGGCCCTTGTTAGGCACTGACAGTGCAAGCGAGCAAGACTGTCAGATGCAGCTGCCTTCCAGGAATACCATTCTGGTGGAGAAAGAGGATGCTGAGAAGGGAGCAAGGGCAGGAGGGGAGAGGCCTGGGAAGAGGCCAGGCAGACTGGGAGCAGGTGATAACCAGCCCCTGCCCAGTGTCCCAGAGGCACCGTCCAACCCCCCGTGGGCAGCCAGGCCTGGCCATGGCCAAGAAGGGGGAAAGTGGATGGATGCTAGCGAACCCTAGTAACTATCTGGTGCTGTTGTGGAAGTCCCAGACATCCATGGCACTAACTTTGAATCTTGGGAGCGCCAAATGAGATGATATTGCAGAGTACCTTACAAACCTTAAAATGCCACAGACACGTATCATTATTCATTGTTGCATTCATCACCAGAGGCATCCCTTGACTGACTGTGGTTATTGGGAAGAGCTGGGTTCAGATCCTTCCTTCTGCAGGACTAGCTTTCTGGTCAATGGGCAAGTCACTGAAACTCTCCGAGCCTCAGTTTCCTCATCGTAAGAAAAGCACAGTGATACACTACCTAACTCACCAGGGTCTCATGAGGACAGAAACACACCTTGCTCTTTGACCTTTGCTGTGCCCTTTGAAAATGAGATGCATGGAGTATGGTGGGGGTCTCAAGGATAATCACCGGTCTCCGAAGAGCTTGTTTCTACTTTTAAGGTTGCTAGGTGGTCCCCAAAAGAACTCTGCCGTGTTGCATGTGGGGAATCTGAAAGGCAGAAACCGTGGCACCAGAAAGGTGGGGCTGGAAGGAGCCTAAGCCATCCCTGGGTCTGACTCAGCAGAGTTGAGAAGAGGGAGTGACTTGCTGAGGTTGGCTAGCGCCCTCCCAGCCAGGAGCAGAGCCCCTCCGCCAGTGTCCTTCAGCCCCCGCCAGGGCTGGGGTGAGGATCCAAAGAGTTAATGATTGTAAAGAGCCGTGGCACATAGTAGGTACTAGATAAAAATGGCAGGTGTGGCACTTCATAGGTGCCAGGTAACTGCTAGTTGTTATCACTGGCCTAGAGGCGAGGCAGCGGCCAGACCAGGACGTTGGGGCACCCTGTGCCGAGGGCTGCTGAGGCTTGGGGGTGGGGCAGAGGGAGCTCCCATCCTCCGCTCCTCCAGCCCCATCACAGCCCTTTGTATGATGGGATGTCTGGGCCTGAGGGTCAGGGCAGTTTGCCATTAGTTACTATTTTTGTTTCTTTTGTCTGGCGACCTGACCCAACGAATCCCTCTCTGTTCACTAAGTGAGGGGGGAAGTGGCGTTCTGACTTGATTTTTTTTCTTGCATTGTACGTTCCACCAAGATAAAGATAGAAACAATGAAAATGTTACCTAGCCTGGTGGGGCCTGAGGCCGCATATGGTAACGTTTTCCATTTTCAAAGGCTGTTAGAAATTACCCTAATAACTATTAGCAGGGGAGACCCAGCTGTGGGGAACCCCAAGGCTCCCGGGGATGCTGACAGGGCTCCGTGGCACCAGAGTCTCTTTCTGGGCGCCGCTTTCCCTTCAAAAAGCTGATGAGTGAGAAGCAGACCCGGGGTGGGAGGTGCTTAAATCAGAGCGGGAGGTCAGCTAGTCGGTCAGCAAGCCCGTGCGTACCTGGCCTTGCGGTAAGCTTTGGAGCAATCCCTCCTCTTTTTGGGGAGCTCATGTTCTAAGGGGGGGAAGACCATCACACTGATACAGACACGACAGACAGGGAGCTGAATCTGAAAGTCTCACCTTGGGTGTAGGGGCCTGGACACACAGGTAGGAAGACCTGAATTCAGGTCCCACCCACAGACACCTAGGCTCCAGTTCCTGAAGAAGGGTAGGGCTGGCCTCCATGGTTTTGGGTCCCTCCCAGCTCCTGACCTTGGTGGAGACACGGGGCGTGGAGGAAACCTGGGGGTGCCGGGCAGGAGGTGCTTGCTCTAGTCGCTGGCCTTTTGTTACTGACCTCTGAGATCCCTGACTTTGTCCTTGTGAACGTTTCCTTGTCTGGTGTGGTCATGAGGGGCGGGTCTTTACCTCTGGTCCAGTGGGAGGAATGGCCGGCTTGGTCATTTTCTTCTTGGAGTGTTTATCTCATGTGGCCTCAGTTTTCTGCTCTGTAGAATGAGGGTATTAGACAAGATGGCATCTGAGGACCTTCGGACTCTAAGCTCATGCTCACATGACTGCAGCGGGTGATGAGCTTCCGGCACTGGACTGAATTGGTGTTCAGATGCACGGTTTGTCCCTGGCCCTAGAGTCACCTCCTGCTGCGTTTCTCGGAGGGGCCTTTCCCGGAGACGGTCATTGCCCTATCCCTGCTGGGCTCCCTCAGCCTTCTGTGCCATGGCTGTGCCAGCTTTAGCTCCTCCTTCCAGGGTGAGGAGGAGCCTGGGAGAATGCAGGGGATGAGAAGCCGGCACCCAACCCTCCCGTGCGGGCCTGGAGGAATTTGGGGGAGGACAGGAGATGCACTCGCCACGTTACTGGCTTGTGCTGGGACCCACGGCTTGTCTTCAGGGACCTTGGGAGGTGGAATGGGAAGACACAGCACTTGTGGCTGAGCAGAAAAAGAAGCTGAAATTCTGCTGGGATGCCAGGCAGAGACAGAGAGAGAGACAGAGAAGGAGAGACAGAAAGACAGAGACAGATGGAGAAAGACAGAGAGACAGAGAAAGAAAGAGACAGAAACAGATGGAGAGAGGAAGAGGGAGAGACAGAGAGGTATCGAGCATTTATAAAGTGAAGCAAAGTGACCTCAGGCGGGAGGGAGGGGGCGCAGCTGAACTGGGCCCTGTGTGCTGGGTCTTCCAGGGATAATCAGTAAGACACTATTTTCACAGACCCCTTGGGGTTTTTTGGGGAATCAAGGGAGATAGTGCAGGGACGGCCTTAGAACTGCCTCAGTGGAAACTTTTTACTGTCATAGCAAAGATCCATGCAGGGTTCTATGCACATCCTCTCCAGAATGCCTCTGGTCCATTCATCTTCCCGAATAAACAAACGGCCCAGTGCTTCTGGGACCATTTCTGGGAAGGAGCAGGCTTTCCTTTCCTGTGCCTGAGGACCAGGACTCTCCCAATGGAAAGAACAGCCACGATTCCCTTTAAGTCTTCCTTCCAGCGAAGCTGCTTAGAGAAGGAGAATGTGACTGGGGTTGAGCGTTCTCCTTTGCTGTTTCGGTGGTGCTTTTCCTGCCCCTTTTCCATCCCCGGCCACAGGCCCTTCCTGCCCCACGGGCCTGGGGCTCATCAACCCATCCATTGGGCAGGCCTGAGCCCTGGGGGCTTTGTCCATGGGCCTCTGCTCTGGCCTGCCCTGGCTGTCCTGGTTTTCAACTGTCCCCGCCCAGGAGGCAGGGCTTTCCAGCGTGGGAGCTGGGAGGCGGCCTCCACCGCCTTCCTGAGGGCCCGGGTGGACACTTTGCTTGGAGCTGTGTGAGAGATCTCGTTCTTTGGGCAGGTGTCCCATCTCATCCTTCTGTGCTAGCCCTCTCCAGGACCTGTAACATTCTAAGCACATGGGTGGCGGGGCGTCTCTGGCCGCTGAGAGCTGCCTGCCTGTGGGCCTCAGTTTCCCTGTCTATAAAAGGAGGGGGCTGGATCAGGTGGCCACCCGCGCATCTGTGATTCTCAAAATCGGCTCTCCAAGAGGCTCCTTCAGGCTCAGGGGGCAGCGCGGAGCCTGGAGCCGAGAGGCCTCGGGCCAAGCCGCCTTCCAGATGTAACATTCTCAGTGACTGTGGGTGAAAACGGTGGCTTTGGGTGTGAATGGCCACTGGGAGAACGGGGCCCGTCTGGGGGCCGTCCTAATGCTGCTTTGTTTGTTTTTTTATTGTCTGTGAACCAGAAAATGGCGGGTGGAGAGATCTGGACAGGAAGTGCCCTCTTCAGCTGGAACAGGCCAGCAGCATCTGGGACTGCCTGCCCGAGAAGTCCAGAGACACGGCCGCCGCCTGCTCCGTGACCAGCCTGATCAGAGACCTCAGCCTCAGCGACCACCACGGCAACCCGGCGGCCCCGCCCAGCAAGCGGCAGTGTCGCTCCCTGTCTTTCTCGGATGAGATGTCCAGCTGCCGGACGGCCTGGCGGCCCTTGGGGTCCAAGGTCTGGACTCCTGTTGAGAAGAGGCGGTGTTACAGTGGCGGGAGCGTGCAGCGCTACTCCAGCGGCCCCTGCGCCATGCAGAGGAGCTCCAGCTTCAGCCTTCCCTCCCGCGCCGACACGCTCTCCTCCTCCTCCTCCTCTTTCTCTGATCGGGCCGGCGTTCACGGCAGATTCGGGGGCCAGCCCTGCCCCGGGATCCTGGGCTCGGCCGCCTACGCACAGGCCGGAGACCTCTGGTGCAGCGATTCGGGGCCTGCCGGCGGCCGCAGCGTGAACATCCAGCGATCCCTCTCGTGTTCTCGTGAGCGGTTCTCCTTTTCGGAATACTGCCCCCCCTCCGCCAGTAGCACGCCTGCCTCCACCCCCGAGCTGGCCAGACGCTCCTGCGGCCTTTCCCGGAGCCGATCCCAGCCGTGTGTCCTTAATGAGAAGAAAGTGGGAGTCAAGCGACGGCGGCCTGAAGACCCTCAGGAGCTAAGGCCCTCCCTCGACCTTGCCAAGATGACGCAGGTAAGGCCCTCTCCCCCCGAGCGGTCAGCAGCGGGAGCCCAGACCCCTGACGGGGAGGGGCCACCTGCTTGTCCGAGCAGTGGAGCCTTCCCCAGGAGAAGCTGCTGTGGCTTGGGGCTGACGTGCCGATGCTGTGGGAGGGATACCGTCCCTTTGGTCATGCTGTGCTTCTCAGGGACAACGGTGAGCAGGACGCTCCCTTCTTCATGTACTTACGCAAAACCAGCTAGAATTCTTTTGGGAGGTATGTGGTCTGTGGGCCACTGCCCAGCCCCGTCCACTTCAACCCTGACCACTGACAATCTGCAGCACCATCTTCCTTTAAGAGCCCTTATCAGCAGGACCAGGATGGCCTGGCAGTGAAGGACAGTGAGTCAGGGGGGAGGTGGTGACCAGCAGAGCTCCCAAAATATCTTTGACTCGTCCTCCTTCTGGTGTTTCCTCACCAGGAAACTCGATGTTTAGCTACAGAAAGAAAGGCCAGGGAACAGTGAGCCTGGGTGCTCCTGCCTTCCATTGAGTGTGATAGCAGGGGCACAGCAACCAGCTGAGGACAGAGAGAGAAAGAGAAAGCCCCCAGATTCCGTGGGTTAATCTTGGTGACAAGAAAGTCTGATTGCGGTCCTCACCGTCACTCTGGTAATCGTCTGAACTGTGAACTCCAGACAAAGAATCCTTGCAGCCCTAACCATCTCCCCTAGCCAGGCTCTTCTTTGTCTTGGACCCCTGCCTTTGTTAGCACTGATGGTGACTCTAGACTATTGACTTGAATAGTGGGAGCACAAAGGCTACCATGGTCATTTCTCAGTTAGACCCCAGGAGTTGGAGCCCGAGGATATCTGGTGACTGTTTCTAGAGGCCATTTCCTGTCAAGGACTAGCGTCCAGGTAGATTGGAATCATGGCGGTGGGAGCCAGGCTCTGGATGGAACTTTGGGGATGAGGAGGGTCCTGCCCAAAAGCCTGCCAGACCCACGAGGGTCTCAGGGTCTCCATTAGAAGTTCTGTGTTTCCAGTTTTGGGAATGTGTAAGAGATAATTGCAGAGTTTGGGGCAACTTTAAATTTCCTAGGAGACTTTCTGGAGAGAGGGGCTTGCTCACCCATTCTGGGGAGCTGAATTCCAGAATGGGCAGCTCTGTCCTCCCTCCCTCCAAGTCCCTGTTTCAGGCGGATCGTCCCACGTTCCTCCCTTCCTTGTCATTGCGGGGGCGGGGGGGGGTCTGTCAAGAGTGTCTGTAGGCCCTGGGGTGGCTGCGTTTCAGCCGTGGATGATGAAGCTATTTTTACCGCTGAGTGCTTTGCGGTTGGGGCCAAGTCCCTCCTTTTAGCCCTCCCTTGGTCTGGCTCCCAGGGATGGGGGTCACCCTCCCCAGAAGAAGAGAGCCTCACCTTGATGGTAGGGCTTGTTGGCCCAGCCCTTAGGCCCAGGCTGGGCTCGAGGGTGGTCCATCTGACAAGCTTGTCCTTGTCAAGGGAGTGAGGGCTCCATCGAGGTTTGATGCCGAGAGCTCTGGGCCGCGAGGCCAGCTTGATGTTCGTGGGCGCTGGCTGCCTGCCGTCATTCCTTCTGTTTTCACTCTCTGCCTGTCACCTTTTCTTTCCTTCTTGAGACCTTGGCATTTTCTGGCCATGTAACCACGATGGTGCTTAAATGCATTCGTTGAGGCAGGAGCCAGTGAGTTGTCTTCCCCCTTCCCAGGGCAGCCTAGGCCATAATCGGCAAGAGGCTGGAGAACCGTGGCTTTTGATGATTTCTGAGGAAACCCAGGGCTGGCCTTCTCTGCGCCGTCTTGACTGCTACACTTCTATTATTAGCTAAGAAGCTAGAGAGTCAGCACCAACAACTCACGCACACTCATGATTTTTATCGGCCACGAGCTGGAGTAACATCACCGGCGTCACCGGAGACTCTTCAGGCCCTGGACTTGGTGGATGTGATTTTAAGATACATTGTTATGCCTAGCTGTGCCCAGGTGTATAGGAAGAGTGCTTCATCCGTTCCAGCTGGTCTCCAAGGAGGGGAGTGGGTGGGGGGCAGGCATGGTGGAAGGCCAAAGGAGGCTGCCGTGAATGTAAACAGGTGGGTGCCTTGTCTCCAGCTGGGCCCTGGGCTTATCAAAGACTCCACAAGGTAGTGGAGAGAAGGCCACAGTCCCTCTGCCTTGTGTCCAGGCCAGACTGCTCCAGTCAGTTCTGGACCCTGGGCTTTCAAGAGACTCTTGAAGGCCCCAAGGATCACCAAGACATCCTCCAGCCATTTAGTCCCCAACCACGGCCGTTACCCACATGTCGGTGATGCCACTGAATTTGTGATGGGATGATTGACAGGCCTTCAGTTCTTGGTGGAATCAAGGGTGGGGGGGGTGGCCTTTGACGTCCACGTGGAAGAGACTGATCCCCAGAATGAAGCACCAACAGGAGAAGCCCTCACAAATCGATCAGCACGCATTGAGGAGGCAGTCGTAGACTGAGGCTGATGGATCGTTGGAGCTCGGGAGTTCTGAGCCCCAAGGCCAGCACCAGTATGGCGCTGGGAGGCCATGAGGCTACCCGCCTGCAGAGGGGTCAGAAACGGATCAGGAGCTCTGGGCGAGAAGGAGACCCCCATCCTCCACACGAACAAAAACCTCCCCTCGAATTGCACAGACACCTTTGGACGTGTTCGCTCCCTGCGTAGGCACTGGCCCCATGTCCAGTCCCCAGTGAGCTGCTGAGCTCCCCATCTCTCCTCGGGCCTGTTACAGGAGGCTGGACGGAGGATGGGAAAGCCATGCTATTAGTTTGAGACAATCAGTGTCAAAGGTATGACTAGCCAGCTGGAGGCAGGGAAGGGCTGGATAGGTGGGAGATAGAGCTTTTACCTTCATCCTCCATCACAGCCTCCAGGCTACGCTCCATCACCGTTAGGAAGGAAGTGCTGAGCATGGATGAGGGGCGGCTCGGCATCACGGACAGAGCCCTGGATTTGGCACCCACGACCCGGGTTCAAATCCTACCGTATCTTCCTATCTCGGGCAAGGCGTTTCCTTTCCCTGGGTCTCAGTTCTCTCATCTGCCACATGAGAGGCTTGGACTCTCAGGGTTCTAAGGTCTCTTCCAGTTCTGGATTAGTCCATCAAGAAGCATTTATTTAGTGCCTGCTGTGTGCTAGGAGTGGTGCTGCATGTTGGATCCTATGATCGTAGGAAATTTCTGTTTGGAGGCTTCAGTTCCTCGTTTCCGTGAAGGCAAAGTGACTCGAAGCCCCTGGACCCTTCTCTCTTCTGTGCTCTGGAAATAAACGGTCCTGCAATGTGAGCTGTTCACAAACTGTCGAGCCCCATCAGTTACTGTGTGAGCTCCCTTGTCTCAGGTGCATTCGGTTTCTGGACATTTAGTTCACCCCGGCTCAACAGTCCCGTCTTGGCATTCTGGGAAGAAGCCTGCCTTTGTTGCAGAGGTGTGAGCATCTGGAGAAAAAGCCTGGGTGAATCCAAAGCACCTGGTGAACCACTCACTCACCAAAGGGGGAAACGAAGAATTCCAGAAAGCCCGTGGAGCAGACCTCCCCTGAGCAAAACCAGGCAGGGAAGGAGCGGGATTCCTTCACTGCCCACGTAGACCTTGGCACCTGGCGGGCCCAGAGCCCCCCAGCACTGCTTGTGACAAGCAGGGCCCACAGCGGCAGGGCACTCTCGCCTCTTCTGGCTTGGGCCTGTTAAGCTCACTCACAAATTCACTTTTTCTGTGAGTGAGTGTGAGTGTGTGTGAGTGAGTGTGTGTGAGAGTGAGTGTGTGTGAGTGAGTGTGTGTGTGAGAGTGTGTGAGTGTGTGTGTGTGTGTGAGAGTGAGTGTGAGAGTGAGTGTGTGAGAGTGAGTGTGAGAGTGTGTGTGTGAGAGTGAGTGTGTGAGAGTGAGTGTGTGTGTGTGAGAGTGAGTGTGTGTGTGTGAGAGTGAGTGTGTGAGTGTGAGAGTGTGTGTATATGTGAGTGTGAGTGTGTGAGCGTGTGTGTGTATGTGTGAGAGTGAGTGTGTGAGAGTGAGTGTGTGCGTGCGTGCGTGTGTGTGTGTGTGTGTGTGTGTGTGTGTGTGTGTGTGTAGGGTCCATGCAGCGCGGCTGCGCTGTTGTGGGCAATAGGCTCCCAGTCCCTGGGTGCTGGCCCCCAGAGCTCCTCTCGTTGACCAGCAGGAGTGAGGCTCTCGCTCCCGGTTCTGTGCTAAAGGGCAAGGTTGATCTGCAGGCCCTCGGTCATCTCCTGATCCTGAGATGCCCCGAGCCAGGAGATACCAAGGCCCTGGGAGCCAGGCCATGGTAAGGAGTGGAGCCCCCAGGCATAGCTGGGGGAGGGAAGGATGCTGAAGGAGGAGCTGGGGAGGAGAGGCGATACCCAGGCGAGCCAGCCAGGCAGTGGGGTGAGCTGGGGCCTGCTGACTGGCCCTCTCACTGGGCCTGGGGCGAGTGTCTTTTAATCACTGATGTTGTCCTCTCTCAACTCTGCAGCTTTGGGATCCTCATCCTCATTTCTCTTAAAATGTTTGGCCTCAGAGGCAGGAGCAGGTTTTTGTCTTGGAGGTAGCTTTACTTCTAGAGGGGAAAGTCAAAAGGTTGGCCCAGTCTTTGCTTTATAGCGCCTTAGGCCCCAAAATGAAATGCTCATTGTCAAGGAAATGGGAGGATGGTCTTCTGGCCCAACCCTAAGAGATATGAAATGGTCCATTATTCATTCAGCAAACACTTAGTAACTGCTAGGTAGTATTCATCTAGAAGATGATGCCAAAGATGGGAAGGGGTCTGAAGACCCTGGAACGTAGAAGTGGGCTGTTCATCCTGGGGCAGACAAGCCCAAGGGGAGACACATCAGCTGTTTTAAGTATTTTAAAGGGGGTGTGTTCTGTTTTGTTCCAGAGGGAAGAACTGGGACTGGTCACTCAGTTAACAGTCAGCGAGCATCTATTAAGTGCTTACTGTGTGCCAGGCACTGGGCTATATGGCCAGTAAGTGGAGGTTACAAGGAAGCAG